CACAGAGTTCAGAGACTCAATTTCTCTGAAGAGTCTGTGACGGTCCGTCCTGCCATTCCGTTACGAAGTTCAGAGAGTCGATTTTCAGTACCCAATTTCAGATTTTCTAAGTGTTTTGAAACGAGACCCTGCGACGGTCCGTCGTGCCCATGACGGTCTGTCGTGCCCATGACGGTCCGTCGTGGGATCCGTCGCCTCAGCCTGTTTTTCCAGAAATAAAATCTGCTGTTCAAAACGACTAAACGGGTCGTTACATTTAGCAAATCATTACAACAATGTCATAATAATAACAATCGCAATAGCCTAATAATGACGGTGTCAAATAGCCTAATATAATTGTTCGCATCACCCAGATCTTGTAATAACTGTAGCTATAGCAATGGAGTAATAGTCGTAATAGTTGAAAACTAAGGTAAGTAACTAGTGATATTTTGAATTAATCATACTCAATATTTGCATAATCTAACAAGATTTTGAGCTACGTTCATCAATTTGCTGCTTTCATTTTATTAATCATCAAATAATGAAGATAGATTAAAAATTAAATAAACTTCGTGATACATAACTTGAGATCTAAATAATCTCACAAGCATTTTTTCAAAAGGAAGCTAAACATAAAATATTATACCATATATATAAAATTATACTATAATATTATATCAAGTATGTGCGATGCGCAAATATTATATTAAACTACACTATTTATTGGTAGTATGCTTTTTAATAAATGAGCTACCATATTGAATGTAAATTTCTTTGATATGTCACTTTATAATGTACTTCATGTGATTTGTTTGATATGAATTATGTGTATAGTAGAATATATAATACATACAAACAAATATCAAAAAGTCAATTATAGTTAGGTTGACTACCCCCTAAACATTAAGTGGATGAATATTGTTTTGTGGTCATATACTAAAAAGAAGAAAGGATAACCAAAACAAACCACCAAAAAGACAACTAGTAAAAGCAAAGATACTATATGTACGAAAACAAGGATATCATACTTAACAACTATATTATTTAGTACTATTACTATTATTATTTATATTATATAACATAATTCAAATTATTGTGATATTAATCATATGTTCCGATTATATTACATTAGATGTTACTACAAAAAATATTATTTACTAATATGAAGTTATCAATAGTTTATTTCAAAGTTATATAATATATATATATATATATATATTCTAGAAGAAATAGAAAACCATTCTTTTCTTTTTTTTAAAGCATTCTACTTTTTTGTCAAATTTTAATATTTTTTCAATAAAATCATACACTGAAACTACTAAATTTCGGGCCTCATTTTTCATTCAAAATTTGTTTTAAAATAAATTATAATAGTGAAAATACAAAAGTAATTGTAGTTCTGCACCTGAGCCTTTTGGCATTTTTAGATGTGACAAATGGTTGGATTGGATTGGATTTGGATAGATTGAATATGAATTGAGCAAAAATTGTTTGGATTGCAATTCATCCAAATATATAGGGAAAATTGTATATAATAGCAAAGTATTAATTCAAATTAAATATTATAAACATAGTTTGATTTAATTGTACCCCATAGCAAACTATTGCTATTTTGCGTCTCTCCTGGTGAATTTCGCTCGCCACAGTCGTTCTCCCACACCTCTCTCACTTTTATACAAATGCAAATTTATAAAATGTGTTTGTATAAAGTGAGAGAAAATTATATATATACATATATTTGCGTTTCCCTCTCTCTCTACTCTCACAAATCTCGCTCGCCACTTTCCTAGATATCGCTCACTCGCCTCTCTCACTTTATACAAAAATGCAAATGTATAAAATGTGTTTGTGTTGGTATAAAATATGTTTGTGTCATGTCCATGATAAAGACTCGGGGCGTGACACGTTCGCCGGATATACAAATATATATTTTTATATCAGTTTTATATATATATATATATATATATATATATATATATATATATATATATATTTTTTTTTTTTTCTCTGCCCTCGCTCGCTTCTTTCCTCTCTTCTCTCTCCCAATCTCGCTCACCTCTCTCCTCCCTCTAACATGTAGCTATGAATCGTAATTATCAAATTATAACTATGAAGTATAGTTAAGTTATTTTTGAGTAGCTATAAGCGAATTTTTTAAAATAGTTTACACTAATTTTTTTATTTCCTTCTGAAATAAATAAACTACATTTTTAAAAGAAAGTTTTCAAGAGGGCGCAATAGGAACAAAAATTCAGTATCCTCTTCTATATGGATTGGGTTGATGTAAGTTTTTATATATTAAATTAGATTATTTGTGTTGAATTTTATAAATTTATAAATCAAATTAATAAATTTTGGATTTTTCAATATTGAATATTCTTGGATTCTTTGGTCTTCTTAGGTTTTTCTATAAAGTTTTCCTACAATCATATAATTAACTTGTGTTTCAAATATTTTTTTTAAGTCATAGCAAGATATAAATAATTAGAATATTTCTTAAAAAACATAACAATATTTAATAAGTGTTGACGATAGAATATTTAATAAAAAAACCGTATAAAGTATAAAATCATGCTAAAATAACTCTAATAAATATTAGTTACATGACTAAATACTAAAAAGAAATATGAAATGATTAAGTATTTAACTTTCTCAACCAATGCAAAACTAATGAATAGAGAGCAAACAACATAAAACCCGTTTATTATAGGTAGCAATTACTCAAAGCATCAATAGTTTCTATAGTAAGTTATCTTAATTGAGTTGCCCCTAGATACACTATATCTACTAAATGTATTTCGTCTCTCTCCTCTCTCGCTCTCCTTTTGTCTTTTCTTATCCCTCTACTTTTGTGTATCTATGTTTCACACTTTCATGTATCTGTGTATTTAGTATTAAATATGCATTGATGTATTTATTGTACGTGTGTATATATATATATATATATATATTTCATCTAGTGTATGCAATATCAAATATCTGGTGTATCCAATATCAATTTCATTAATTCAGTGTAAAAAATGCATTAATGTACCCAGTATTGTGCATAAGTACATCTACTTAGTATCAATTTTTGTGATGTATCTAATATATTTGTGCATAAATGCATACTTAAAACAAGATGAAGATGAAGATATAATTATTTCAGATATATGTATTTGTGCATAGATACATGTATATGGTGTAACTATGAGTTCATTACATACTTAAAAGAAGACAAAGACTAAGACATAAATATCCAAATACATATATCTATTACTCAATTTGATCCATAGTTTCTATAATTACTTATCTTGATTGAGTTGCCTCTAGATACACTATATTTGAAAAATGTATCTCACCTCTCTCTTCTGTCGCTCTCCTTTTGTCCTCTCTTATCCCTCTACATTTGTGTATCTATGTTTCACACTTTCATGTATTTGTGTATTCAGTATCAAATATGCATAGATGTATTCATTTCATGTGTGTATATCAATTTCACACAGTGTATCCAATATCAAATATCTGATGTATTCAATATCAATTTCATTTCTTCAATATAAAAAATGCATTAATATATCCAATGAATTTTTGCATAAGTACGTCTACTTAGTATCAATTTTGTGATGTATCTAATATATATGTGTGCATAAATATATACTTAAAACAAGACGGAGATAAAAATATAGCTATTCAGATATATGTATTTGTGCATAAATACATGTATCTGATGTAATTCTGTTAATTACATATATTTAAAAGAAGACAAATACTAAGATATAATTATCTAAATACGTATATCTATTACTCAATTTGATGAGATCATAGTCTAATTGTTAAGGACTTGTTTTGGAGGCTTCTATTGGATATATCGAGGGAGAAAAGTAACCCAGTGTTAGTATTAGTATTTACTCCCTTTGTCTGCGTTTATATGATTTTAATTTTTTAGTTAGTCCCAAAAAGGATGATATATTTTTATATTAAATAATAATTTAATTTTTAAATATTTATTTTATTTTTAATGAAATAATTTTTATAATTAAATAAATATTTATCACTTATTTTAGACTAAAAAATTTAAAAGTTTTCATAATTTATTAAGCTTCGTGTCAAGTCAAACTAACTCACATAAAATTGGAGAGAGAGCATAAGTTGCATTACAATAAATATTCTTATGTAAATACTTTTAAAAATTATATACATGTAATATTGAGTTGAGTTGATTCTATTTGACTTTTGTTTTTTAGTTAAAATCCAACCAAACTAATTATGACAAAAAAAATTCCATCACCAAACCAAAAGCAAACTAAATTACTAATCGGACTTTTTCTCAATTTGATTTGATTTATCGATTTAGTGCAGTTTATCGATTTTCTTTGTATACCCATACTTGAAATTATAGAGATCTTTAACATAGTATCTAGTACATAGAAAAAAGCGAAGGATGGCCAAATTCAATATGGAACCACATAATTTACCTATCTTGGAGCGAAATAGTGACGGATCAATGATGAAGTTCATAGCTAATTTCAGCATTTTAAATAGTGATATGAATCATATTATTCTCTCTACGTTCACAAGATAGGATAAAACTGATAACACATTACTTTTTTCGTACATCACTTACGAAATTATGCTGAATTTGTTGTCGTTAGTAGATTATCTACTTATTAGCCATAACAAAAACTAATTTAATCTCGAATATATGAAAGTCGCCTTTTTTTATTAGTGATAAGAGAGAATCACTTCATGTCATGAGGATCAGCAATTTACAAAAGTAACCTTGGAACAACAAATTAACAATTTCATTAGCGATCAGTGATGGAGTTAGGATTTTTAATAAGGAAGATCAAAATCTAAAGAACTAAACACATGAACTAATTAAAGGAGATTTGATATCTACTATGTATACGTAAAAAATAATTTTAATCATGTATGAATATATTCCGCCGAAGGGGTTCTCATGAATCTCTTAATAGAAGGTTGGCTCCACCCCCACTAGAGACGACACAAGGTTAAAATTTGTGTATATCATAGCCTCTTCAAATCCTAACGGTAGAATTTCATTGATATATTATTGTTATTCTTACAACACCACAAGGTATATTGTTGTTGATTCATGAACATGCATGATACAGTATATAACATAATAACTAGTATAATATAAAACGATACATTATGGAACGATAGAAAATAATTTTTATTAGTAAGATACTACTCTTTTCCCTTTAATATCTAACCTAAAAGGGAATTATATTCATCATTCATTTTTTGATATTTTTCAGTCAATTTTCTGAAAGTCTCTTTCTTTTCCTCAGAAATGTTATTCTTTGACAATTGAAGCTTCATTTCTTCTCTCTTTTTCTTGAGCTCTTTTATTGCTGCCATTTTCTCATCATGTTCCTTTTGAAGTTTTGCAAGATCTGACTTCTTTTTCTTATCTGATTTAATCACAAAAATGGACGTATACATATATGTAATATATCGATATTGTATAAATAGTTATGTAATATATTGATATGTTGTATAAATAGTGTATAACTATATGTATAATATATATATATATATATATAACTATGTTTTAGAGATGTGTATACATGCATATACATTTTAATAGGTAAATTCACTGCGACAAAAATAATTTTTAACAGCAATAAATGTGCATATTAACAAAGAGTGTTAAAGTCTTTACCAGCATTAGTTAAATGATATTAGATCCAATATTGTTATAAGCTTCACGGACATTTACAAAAAATATTAATTGTTTCTAAACAAAAAAATAGACTTAGTGACAATTAAGCTGTTGTCATAAAGATCACTTTTGATGTAATAAGTAACCACTGAGACTATTAATAAAATAGTAAGTATTTTCTTATTTTAAATCAAATATCTCAGATATAAACCTTCGAAATAGATAATCTTTCTATTAAAAAAATCTTTGTCTAGTTAGAATTAGAATTGATTGGATAGTGAAAACACATACCTGAATATTTGAATGAGCTGTTGCCTTCCTCCATAATTTCTGTAAAAATTAAAATCATGTCAATATTTAGAAATTTTGTTTTTATTTTTCTTAAATCAATAATCTTTATAAGGAAAAATAAAAGAGAGCAAAAATATGTCTTTTAGTTGCTGCTAATAAGTTTGCATTCAATTCACTTGCCAATTATTAAACATGTTTAACTATTTTCCTAAACAAAGTTCCAATTTATTTTATTTTTTAATATTGGTTTATAGTATAATCTTTTGTGTAATTTTATCTTTATTTTAATGTCTTTTTTTAAAAAAAAAAAAACTTTCGATTTTTCTTTTCTTACCTTGAAAGAAAAAAATAGGACATATCGTGGGAGATCTTAGTAGCTCAACTTGGTTCATGATTGATTACGTAAACTATTATTTCATAAGTGAAGATTCGATTTATCATCTTATATTCCTCATGTTACAATTAGTTTCTCAAGTTACGAACTGAAAGATCAAAATATAATAAAGTTAATCAAATTAAGGGCGTGTTTTGCACAAATTAAAGAAGAAAAATTCCAGAAAGTTCTTCATAAAAAAAATTGTGTTACAAAAATTATGAAAAAATATTTTTCCATGTTTGGTTGACCAAAAAATATTTTCTCGTACGAAACGCACCCTTAAATATTCATATTATGCAAACATTATATATAGTAAGTAATAAGTTACCTTAATTTGGTGTCAAACCTTTACAGCTACCTTGTGTTCTGCACTACTGTCAACTATGAGAAACCTTTTATAAGCAACGAAAATTAACGATCTATCGAAAATAAATTTTTAATATTTATTTAATAAGAATAAGTTTTGTGTAAATCCTATGTTTTTAGCAATTACTTATAAAATTACATAGAATATATTATTATTGTTATTGACAAACATGCTCATGTGCAGAATAATAAAAATAAATAACGCTTTCTTTTTATAGTCAATTACAATGCCTCAACTTTAAATAAATAGGGATGGTTATATAAATCTTCATGATCAGATATATTTTTGAGAAAAAAATTATAAATAGCAAAGAGATTAAACTTATAAGCTTCGTTAGCTACAGTTTGGCTAATCACGCTCTATAATTATAATTTTATTTGCTATGGGTATTTCTGTTCGTATAATTTGTTTGTCAATATGCAAAATGCTAAGTCTATATAAATTTTATGTTTATACATTTAGAAAATTTTCAGAACTCATACAAATCAAATATATTAACAGGATAATAATTATGTACAAGTTAAGGTAAGAATATACAAATTCTGGATTCAAACAATTAGACTTATACAACTAGATATTAAAGACACAAGTTCTGAATTTATACAATTAGGAGCCGAATTACACAAATTCTAAATATAGACTATGTAATTGTTTGCAACAAATTTTAAACATATGGAAAATAAACAAACCATACAAATAAAATATGAAGAAACGTGATTTTATTCATCAAGATTGTGAGTACAAATCTGTTCCTCCCTTGATTCTACTCTCTAAGATGATTTATCCATGATTCGAGGGTCGTTAGTAGCGTATTTCTCGAACAGGGATGATTTAGATTTGACCTCTCTATATGAATAATTCATCAATTTGTGGAGAATTCGAGATCTTGATCTCTTTGTGGATATTTCGAGATCTTGATCTCTTTGTGGATATTTCGAGATGCTTTTAAGGGAATTTAGTACCCTTTATATAGGCATAAACTAGGGTTTAGGGTTGAGTAGCCTCCAAGAATACTTATCTGAGTTGAACACAATTTGTAGAGTCCCAACTCGAATTGAACGCATCTTGTAGAGTCCTACAAAATTTCAATGTCTACAGTAACAATGCTTATAAGTTAATGATGAATGATAATTTTTAATTAAATAAATTACAGCTATGTTTATCTAATTATATTTATTTATCCTTGTAATTTTTCCTTTATTTTTCATTAATATTATTCTCTTTACAAACAAAAAAATATTGATGATATTAAAGACAACATTGATTTTTTTGTTTTGTTTTATTTTAGGTACAAATACAAATGCTAAAGAAGAAATTTCCCTTTGATGGAAATAATATCCATGTTATAGAATTGAGTACAAAGATTTGCTATGCTATAGACATGTAAGTGTTAAAGTCATGTGACTCAGACAAATAAAATAATGATGTAAGGAATCAGAATATTACACGTCATTGCTATGGACAAATTGTACATATTTTAAAGGATAAAGTGATATGCGAATCCTGAAAATTGTCCGCATAATTTACTTAGACATCTCAACTAAGACTTGTACCTATTGGACACCTCTACTAATTCAGATTTGAACCTTTTGAATACTTTTGTGATAATCAGATAAAACTATGAAATGTGTGTAATACACTCGCGATGATGTGGAAAATGGACAAATCAATTATGTACATGTGACATTTTGATGGAAAAAAAAAGAAAAAAGAAAAATTTAAAGTGTTGTCATCACTTTGAAATCCTATTCTTCACCATAGCCCCCTCCTCCACCATAGTTGTCATCACCTTGAAATCCTCTTAACCCACAATTCTGTTTTCAAATCTGTTTCTTCTTCTTCTTTTTTAAGTTGAAAATAGCAAATTGCATATACATAAAAATTACTCAATACATGAACCTACAAAATATGAACCATTTATAATTTTAGATATCAATAAAATCATTGACTACATAATCATCTAAGCAGATTCATTTTTTTATTTTAAATCTAATTTGTAGATATATTTTCGATAAGAAAAAAATGGAAGAAAGAAATAGAATAGTCATTGTATGAGTCTATATTTTTTCCCGTAAATAAGATCACAATATCGAACAAATTTAAAGAAAATGGAGAATAAAATCGTAATGGTGTTTCGATAGTTGAATATGATAGAGGTGAGGGGGAGGGAGGAAGAGGAGGCACGAGAAAAGAAAATGGTGGAAGGTGTTGGTGGCAACATCATCGGTAGAGATGGTATTGTTTTGGAAGAAATGACTAAGGAAGAAGGAAGAAGAAAGAGATTTAAAAAAAAAAAAGTACGTTCTGACGCGTTGAATGAATGTGTATTACACTTTTCTTGCCATGTCAAGTGAAAAGTGTCAAATAGGTACTTATTCTGAACAATAGAAGTGTTCAATAGGTATCAGTCCTAGTTGAAGTGTCTAAATGAATTTTGCAGACAACTTTAAGGGACCGCATATGACTTTAACCTATTTCAAATCAATACTCATAAATATATTCAATATAGTTTGAAAAATTAATTTTCAAATATAATTATTTATCCTAAAAACGGTATGGTTGAATTTGTATAAGGTATGCGTCTTAATTTAACTCTTTGTTTTATATTCGTTTATTAAGGATTTAAAGATAGATTTAGTTGACACGAAAAGTAGATATAGTTAAATAAAGCACAGAGAATATAAATTTAAGTATTTCAAGATAGTGTGTTAAATAAATGAAAAAAGAAAGCAAGAATTTGAGCGATTTGATGTGTCTAGTTATTGAAAACAGACTTTCTGCCTCTTGAATATATAGGGATAAATTCTATCCTCCTCAAATTTTTTTCACGACTACGCTAAATGTAACATACGAATAATTCTATTCATTTGTGATATTTATGTATTTTAAATATTTTTAAATTTTGTTCTTTCCAGAAAAGAAGCGGTTGTCAGTCCTTTCATTTCTTTTTAGTTAATTTCATAAATATTTTTCTTTTTAAGTAACTGTTTAATTTTAATTTTAACTTTTTATTTGGTATATTTCAAATCACACGATTAAATTAATTTGATATATTTAACATATTTAAATTTAAAATTAGAAAATTTAACAAAAATTCCAGAAATAAATTAAAATATGAGGAGTCAAATGAGATGTCAAATTAAAATAATTGAAGTCACTCTCAATCGATCTTTTCGAAGGTTAGTAAGTAGTGACCAATTAATTAAATTCTACAATTGATTTTGGTGGATGTCCACCTTAAATTAAAATTAATTAAAAAAAATGTAATGCATTAACTCCATAATATATCTCTTGGCTGGATACAAAAAAAGAACAAAATAAATAGTGAAAACAACTTTTTGTATAAGTAAAACTTAAACTTAAATTTACTCTAAAATCTCTATAAATTAATATAGATAGGATCATGAAATTTTATTATTTTATAGAGATATTATTTAATCGTTAAATTAATATTTTTTTTATTTAAAGAATGATTTGAGATTTGATGAAGGTTAATTTTGATTATATCAAAATTGTTGTATCCTACTAATTTATGTATCATATTTATTGATTTCACATAAAATATTATCACACATAAAATACAATAAACACTTCAAAATTATTGTATCTTACTAATTTCAAACTTGTGATGTTTGTGATAATAAGAGCTTTCAAAATGTATTGTCGAACAAATTTTATCGTAGGATATTAGAAGGTTATGAAGTGAGAAAATTGATCCAGCAAAGATCAATGTTTTGGATGCTATCAATTTGCAATTCTTGTTTGGCAATAAATGTTCTACAAGAGATAATAGCAAATTATTTTTGACACTGTAAAACTTATTGGGAGGTTTAATCTTAGAGAATTTGAATGAACCTACTTATGAAAACTTCATTCATGAATTTGAAATGATTAATGATCTCGTTTACCATAATAAAATAGATTCCAATAACTTGTTGGATTATCCAAGTGAAAGTGATATATATTCAGAGGTCCAAATAGAAGATATTGTGGATACCATCGAAAAAAATAATGTTGATGATGAAGTTAAAGATGATACTATACCTTTGGAACCAGTTAAGCGTAAAGAAACACTAATCGCATCTAAAACTCTTCATAATTTTATGGTACAGTTCGAAAAGAAAACACAGGAGCTCTTAGATGCAATAAGGAAAGTTAGAGATGAGCTTCGACTAGATGTCAATTTTAATTAAAAAAACAAAACACAATACAATCATATTTCATTAAATTGTCTTAGATATATTTATACTTTAAAGAATTATTAATTTATGATATTAATGGGACCAGATATTTATATAAGGGTCTTCTGAAAATATATTATCTTATCGAAATTAGTGATTTTTTTCATTGACCCAAATTGGGACCGAAGAAAAATATTATTTTACAGAAATTATCAATTTAACGAGTGTTAACTTATAAAGATTTCACTGTATGTATACTTCAAATAAATAAAAAGAATACTCCATTTTCTAAAAAAAAATCATCATTTCGTTTAACAGTTAGAATTTATAGTTATGAATTAAAAGACAAATAAGTAAATAATTTGTATATAGGGAAATAGATCAAAGTCCTAAACAGTCGCACAAAAAATATCACCATAGCATGTCTGTAGGTGGCCAATATATCTTTTGAACAATTTAAAATAGATTAATTTAACCCATGGTATATTTTTAGCTCAAAAATATTATAGCTTCAACTTAAGCTTAAGATAATTTAAAACTACGAAAAGTAGTATAAATTATCATGATACTTATAGCTATTTCAATATAATAATCTTAAAATTATAGTCATTTTAGTAAGTTACACCTTTATTTTATCGTATCATTCTTAAAGTTAGTAAAATAAATGCATTATAAATTGAAAAAACATACCAAACACACTCATAATTCATTACATGTGTGCGCTACTTATTTTCTTTTATGCTATTATATGCGCGTGCGCACACAAAAAAAAAAAAAAAAAAAACTATTTTTTATTATTTTGGAGCAATTGTTATAAAAAAGGATATTTTTTGGAAAGTATTTTATAACTAGGACGTAACGATAAAAATATTTTTAACCTAATGGAGATAAAAAAATAAGAATGACCTTTTTGAGGTTGGCAAAACTAAACTTCAAATTCAAACATATTTTTTTTAATTTTAACCTTGAAAATTTAACTATGAAGCTTTAAAGATGTGTCATCTAAATCCAAAAAAGACACTATTACAAAACTATTATATTTGTTAATCCAATTAATTATAACACTTAACTATTATTCTTTTTAGGGCAAACATTGTTTGATGTGCAACTCACTTGATCACATACAAAAAGTGATATCTATACATTCAATTTCAGATACCCCACAAATAGAAAGAAATTTTCTCAATGATTGTCCAATAGTTTTACTAAATTAACAAACCACTTAATTAATCGAATATTCCTATTGTTCAAGAATAATATCTATCAATTAACTCAAGGCCGTTATTACAACTAATAGGTTCAAAATAAGTTTGTACCGCATGTTTGTTGAACAAACAAATCAAATCACTCAACATATCAAGTATAAGTTTTCAAGGCTTCGCGCTCATAAACTTTTTTTCTTTCATATATATATAAAAAAAATTCAAGTCACTTTCATAGTTTGGAATCGATAAGTAAAAGTCATTAAAAAGAGCAAAAAAGTACTGAAGTAAAAGTCCCAAATATGAACTTTCAACTAGGCCAACGTACCTTTATGTACAAACCATATCACATAATTGTATGGGACATGTTGTTTCGTGGAAGCTCACATTTCTAAGTTTATTATATTATTTATCTATTATTATTATCTTGGACTTATAACACCACAGAAAATCAAGAGACAGAAAAACATGAATATCTACTCAAGGAAGATCTTCACCTAACTCTTTATTTAACTAACTAGACTTAGATACACCCCCTTTTTGCAAAATGAGTAAAATACACCCCTATTCTAGCCAAGTTTAAGAGTGTTTTCAACACTTTTCTCGGTTTTCTATTAAGACCTCATGCCCCCTACAAGGGTTTGAGATACTATATCTACGTTTAATTAGTCAAGTAGAGGGTGGTCGATAATACAATCATCAATCATACAAACATCAATCACTTTTTATATTTATAAACAAATCCTACTTAGACTCTATATAATATTGGTTAGAAGATAATTTGGGTGCACATGTGTACATAATAGATGAATAGGAGAGCATGCTAAAACAGAAGGGGGGCAGCAGTACCCATAAAAACAAAAGTCCAAAGACACATTTAAGTATGAATAAGGCTATGGGGAGTGAAAGTGAAAGTTGTGGAGTGGAGGGGTAGGTACCCTTGATACTACCATTCAAATGGTGTCAGTAACCATGTGATAGTATGGCCCTTCAACCCTCATGTCCACCTAAAAGAAACCACAAAATGAGACAAAAGAGTCCCCCTTAAAGTAGCCTTTGATAGCACAAAAGAACACACTTTTCTTTACCCCCCCCCCCCAACCTTCCTTTTGGTAATACTAGTGTCCAAACCATTACATCATGTACCTACCACTTTATTACCAAGGTAACTCTAATCACCAAGACAGCCTTTCGGAAACAGTCTCTCTATCTCCACGAGATAAAAGTAAGATCTGCATAAGATAAAGCTGGAACCCAATTTGACAGAAAGTGATCTAAAAGACATTTTCATTTTTTCGACTTCAATTTTTTACATCATAGCAAGTTACAACAGTAAAAGCAGAGAAAAGGGAGGAAATTACCATCATAACTAAGGGGTTACTACTAGCCTGCCTTTAATTTTTGCTATTGTTCAGTGTGGTCCAGCACACAACTACAAAGAGGGTACAAAATATAGAGAGAGAGAGAGACCCCACTCCCATTAATCAGTTCATCTGTCCTTTATGTATACATTTATGTATTTGTTGTAAGTAGTATGGTATTGATGATGACAACAATCTTGAGAATATCTTCCTTACCGGTAGATCGATCTTTTCTTCTGTTGAGGGTATTGTTTGGCTATACAGCTAGAGGACTTTTACTTCTTGTATATGCTACTACTCATGCGTTTTTCTGCATAAACAACATTTAGAGAATCTCATTTAGAACAAAAATGGCAAGAAATTGGAAACCGGGAATAACAATAACCAACCTAAGTTAATCCCTCCTAGCTAGCCATGCACAACTCTTAACACCTACATTTCAATGGCTTCTTGCCCAGAAGTAAACCTGGTCAACGACCACCTCAAATTAACTTCTTTCACTCTTTTTTTAAAAAATGCAAAGATAATGGAAGAAGAAAAGATGTGGAGATCAAGTACCTTGGCCTGTGGAAGTAACATGATTTAAGAGAAGCCATGTTGAGGGTAGTTGTCGTAGGAAGCATAGGGATATTATTGTTAGAAGTAGCAGTAGTTATTGGAGAACTAACGCCAGCTTCAGCTGAATCAGTGGAGAACGCGGCCTGGTTTTCTGCAGCTGACTTTGTAGGAGAAGCAAAAAGGTTATCGGGAAGGATATGCTCGAAGCTGTTTCAATACCACCAAACAAACGTCAATACCATTAGACAGAATCCAAAACATTATTAGCAATAGGTTTAAATCAATCCCAGCAAAATTTGACATCATCTATCGGGAAAAGAAACAAAAGACTTTTCAACTGCCATCTTGAACTTGAAATTTATGCTATTAATCTTGACATTACATTAAAGAAATCGTAGTTCAGTACCTTTCTTGAAGATTAGAGTTGTCAATATTGGAGCGCTGCTCCTTGCTGCTACTTCCATGCCCAAAATCAGTAGGCAGCATTTCTTGAGGCACCTTTTCATCAGCTGCATTATGGGGGGCGTTGGTAGCTTCATGAGTATTGTTACTTTCTATAAAAAGAAGTAAAATCAGTTAGCACTAGATCTATTAAGCTAAAGAAGAAAACTTAAAAATGTCTTAAAAGTTAACCTGCAGGGACTTCTTGATCAATGTCATTCAACACAGGAACAAGATTGTGATTGTTTGGAGAGTGAAACTGCATCTGGGAGGCCGTTGGAAGACCAGGAGAGAGGCTGGGTGGGAAGTGATCATTGCGATGTTGATTCTTCAGGTCCAGCAGTTGCAAATTCATTAACCTTCTGCCTTGAAGTTCGATGGCTTGCTGTAATTCAGCCTCCTGCTCTATTTTTCTTCTCAACATCATCTCATGTGAATTATATAACATTCTTGCTCCTGGATATGAAGAGATATTTCTCAAGCTCAAACAACCCATCAGACTATTGACAAGAAAATAAGAAATCCAGATCATTTATCTTACCAAAGGGAAGGTCAAACGGCTCCCTAGATTCAAGAGCTGATGGGCTTAAACAGGTCGACAGATCTCCTCTATCAATTGGATGTTGTTGTTGCTGAAGCTGCTTCCTTTATAGTTTAATCAACAATGAAACATTAGTTATGAGTAAAGGGAGATGCAATAACTCAAAATAACATTACAGGGTGATCATCTTTACATACTTATCCGCGATTTTTCCCTTTTCTTTGTAGGGCTTTACAAGTACCCGAGAATCACACACAAAATGTGGGTTTCCTTTAGCCAAGATCATCTTAACAGTTTCAGAGTAGATAAATGTAACGAATCCAAACATTCGCTTCTGCTGATATGGAATTCTAACATCTTGGACAGGCCCATACATACTTCAAAAACAAATTACACAAGACAAGTTACTGTCAAATTTTCATTCCATTTAACGATTTCAAGAATCCATTCCACAATAAGCACCACGTACCTAAAGTAGTTAGACACATCCTCCTCCTTAAATGTGCTATCCGCAGGAAATGTTAGGTAAATTTGTCGTGAACTTGAACTTGAGATGCCACCCAACGCCATTGCTGAAAAATCATTTCTATCAGGACGGCACCTACCGAATTTGTGGAATTCTTCACCCATCATAAATGTCGCAGCAGCTGATCTGCATTTCAGACCATACATGAAGATACCTTTTAAATATCCTACCAATATTCCAAATCTCAACCTCCACATGATGTCCCAACCAAAAGTCTAAGCATAACTACCTAACCTTAAACAATGAGTTGCTATTGAAACGTTTTTTAAACACAAAATAAACATCAAATCAAGATTAAGATTAGACAATAAACAGCAGCATAATACAATAACTACAATCAAAACACCAGAAACTGATTACCCAAAAAAAAAATGTATAAGTTGAAGGAAATTACTAGCAAGACAAACATTTACAAGTTATAAAGTCAATAACTAACAATGAGGAAATATCATGTAAAGGTCCAAAAGGATATACCTTTGGTTATCATTCAAGATGTTGATGCATTTGTTGTAAGCAATTGGATGGTGATGAGCACCAGAAGCCATAAGAGAGGCAGCAGCAAACCTCTGTTGCTGCTGCTGTTGTAAAGCCTTCATCCTCAAGAAATCCTCAACAGAGTCAACTTTACTAGGAGAACCAACAATAGCATCTGGTGAAGAAGAAGAATCAGGAAATCCACTGTGCATAAACTTGCAACTATTCCCATTTTTGCAAAACCCTCTAGCAAAATACATGCAAGGCCTCCAACCAAACCCACCACCACCATCATCTGAACCACCAAGAAAAACATCATTGACTGAACAACTCCTACGATGAAGATGAGGGGTTTCCTCACAATTCCCATAAGGGAAAACCAAAGAATCACTTCTTCCACTAGGACTCATAATTGGATCCAATGATTCATCAAGAAAAGACAAGTGTTCTTGAACTTGAGCTTGTTGAACACTACCACCATACTCATCATTATTTGGGTCATAAAAAGGGAGTGACAGTGAAGTAGTTGAACCCCCAGAAACAGAATTAGTAGAACCATTCACCACAGCAGCATAAGAAAGTGAACTAGACCCCCCTCCTCCTCCTCCTACTGGTGAAGCCAATGGTCTAGGACTTCTTGTAAAAACTGGTGACCCATTAGTAGACCAAGGAGAAGGTGAAGAAGGTGAAGAAGAAGAAGGAAACCCATTGTTAGGAATGATGATTCTTGGTGAAGATTGATGAAAAAGATTCAATTTTGACATTGCAGATGAATTGTTTGATGAAATTCCTAAACAAGTTTTAGCTTGATTTATCAAAGAAACCAAAAGGGTTTCTGGACCAAAAGCTAATCTTATCATCTCCTTCTCCCCTTGATCTTGTATCAGTATATACCCCATAATTTTTGAAGCATTTTCTGGATCCAAACTTTGAATTCTTGATAAAACTATCTTTGTAGCTTCATAGCCATCCATGGTATACAAATTTCTTCAACATTCACTACTACTACTCTCACTACTACACTACAAAGTTGGAACCTTTTTTCAAGAAATAGAGAGAGAAAGAGAAAGGACAATGATAGAGGATAGTGGACTTTTAAAATAAAGTTATAAAATAAAAAATAAAAAGATTTGTATGATTTGGGGATTTATTGTATTTTTGGGAATTATTACTAAAGATTTAAAAAATGTTTATACAAAAGGTAATGATAGTTATATTTGTTCAATCATTATATACCTTATTCAAACGTGACACTTGAGAAGGATATTTAATAGTAATCACTCCTCTAATTCACGTGATATATAGTTTGACTTGATATAAAATTTAAAAAATTATAACTTAAAATAAATTTTTAATATTTATAATATTATGCAATTTTTATAAGAATAAATGAGTATTAAAATATAGAAATATAACATTTTTATTTAAATAGATTAATTTATTTGTTCAATTTTTTAAAAAGAATGTGTTTTTGAGCTAAAAATATGTAAAAACAAATATTTTTTAATTTTTGTGCTCTTAAATCTATAGCGTAGAAAATTGATATTAAAATATTTTTTTAAAACTATTTAAAAAATAAAACAAATTAAATAAATTAAAATGGAGAAATTATAAAATTGCTAAAAAAAATTATTATAACGATAATTTTTAAGTTACTCAAAATTTTGTAAACATAGATAAATAAATAAAATATGTATTTTTAAAAAAAAAACATAAAGGAACTCTTATCAATCATAACATTTACAAAGTTAAATTATTAATTCGATGAATCATAGGATAATCAATTAGTCATATACAAGTTACAAAATTAATTATTAATTCAAATAAAAAAACGTTACGCTTATTTTCAAACGGAATAGATAATGAGACAATGAGTCATAATGCTTGATAAACGTGAAGTGTCTTGATATTTTTGTCTCATAATATAAATAAATATTTTAGAGGAATTTGTAGATAAAAGACATATTTCAAAATAAGTAGAATATCGTTTTAAGATTTCATTATATATAATAGGAAAAAAGGTCAAATATGCCCCTAAACTTATTTATGAATTTTTTGCGCTAATTTTATATATTTTTTTTCATATTTTCCTTATTTTTTTAATTAATTAATTACTCATTTTTGAAATTTATTGAAAAATAAAAATTAAACAAAATTGTTGAAAATTGGCCGGATAATTTTTTTAAAAGGGGGTTGATTTATGGATCGGATTAGGTGTTTATGAATCTGAATATCTTTCCATTTTCATATAAATGTTATGTGGTAAGGCCAAAATGACATGGAAATTCTATGTGGCATTTAAAGAAATGAAAAATAAGTTGGATATGTTCAACATGACAACTAACGTCCATAAAGACATATTTGGACTAAAAGTTGAATAATTTAGGAGCATGTTTGACCTTTTTTTTCCTACTTGATATTCAACTATTTGATTTTTTGAACTATAAAGGTCACTATTGATATTTGTGTCTGTCTTATGTATTTTATAAGTAATAATTTAATACATGGACTTTCTTTTGAACGTATAAGTAAATTCACTTAGATAATTTATTTTAATTTTCAATTCCATTTAAACATGAAATTAATTTTATGATTTCTTTTTCATTTTATGTATGCTCTTGAATAGCAATTATGCATTTACAAATTGACATACATCCGTTAGTTTTCATTAAAAACATTGACGGAGGAATATCAAATTTTTTAAAAAAAAATTCTGTATTTTTGCGTAAAAGTAATTGATGGGAGTGTGTCGATTTTCTTTCTTAAATAATCGGTTAAATTAGATAGCATTATGTATTTTATTTCTTTCACATATATGTTATCTAGATTTAACTTAAATGCTATCTTTTAACTTTTAATTCAACTCAATGCAGATAAAATGAATTAATCTTCAAAAAATCATGGGAAAATGCATAAGTACCTCCTCAACTTATGTCCGAAATCTCAGAGACACACTTATACTATACTAAGGTCCTATCACCTCCTGAACTTATTTTATAAGTAATTTTCAACCCTTTTTCGGCCTACGTGGCACTAGCTTGAAAAAAAAAGTCAACAAGCATTGGGCCCACAAGATAGTGCTACGTAGCCCGAAAAGGGGTAGAAAATTATTAATAAAATAAGTTCAGAGGGTAATAGGACCTTAGTATAGTATAAGTGTGTCTCTGAGATTTCGGGCATAGGTTGAAGGGGTACTTGTGCATTATCTCAAAAATCATTGCTAATAATATTACTAAAAATGCGAAAACTCAACTTTGTTGGATTGTCATTAGTTTTTTTAAGAAAGAAAATCGATACACTTTTGTTGAATATTTTTCACACAAATATAAAAAACTTGAAAAGAAATTATTATTTTTAAATAAGTCAATGTTCGTCCATCAATTTTTTTAAAACGAATTACGAAAAACTAACGAACAAACGTCGATTTTAAGATGTAAAATTGCAGTTGAAGAGCGTATATAAAAATAAAGAAATCATAAGAGTAACATTTATATTTAAAAGGTACATAAAAAAAGGAGTTGAATGGTTAAAATGAAATACGACTAAAATAAAGTGCCAAAATAAAAAATAAAGACAAGTTAGAGAGGCTAACTATGTATTTGACTCTTATTATAATTGATCAAATTCCCTCTGAACATGGCATGAAAACTCGCTTTAGTAACTACACGGGTGTTTATATACCCTCCTTAACATGTTTAATGTGAATTATTTTTAATCTTTCGAGCTCCAACCTCCTGCGCGTGTTGATACAGCTTTGTATGGTGTAATTCATCTTTTAGCATTTTTTAAAAGTAAAATTTGACCCTCTAACGGTAATATTCGACCCATTACATATTTGAATGTAAATCTTCTCTTTTGTAGAACTCTAATTTCCTCTTCACCTCACTAACCCAATCATCCAAAAATGTTGACCTAATTCATGCTTTTTTTTCTTTATTTTCTCAAATCTTAGCTCTTCAAACCTAAAAGTTGAATCTTTGAAGAAATAATTGTTCTTCAAAATGTAAGCTTCAAACCTATTCTTATTTATCTATTATTTTTATTTTTATTTTTATTTCGTCCCTTTTTCTTATTATCTGGGTTTTTTCCAGATTCTTGTTACTTCTTGCACAAAATTGTAGAACACAATGCGATCAATTAATTTGACAAATCTTTGTATGGAAGAAGATAATTATACTACGAAAAAAAATATTTATTGTAATCATGGACTAGTTGTGCGTTTGAAAACATCTTGGACTTCCAAAAACCGCGAAAGAAGATATTGGTCATGTCCTTATTATGGGTAAACATAATTTTTGTTTAATTTTAGTCGATTAAGAGTTTGATTACTAATTCCATCATCCTTTTTCATTATTGAAGGGTCCTAGATCTTGCAACTTTTGGTGTTGAAAGGATAAAGAGAATATTGATTCGAGGTCAAAATTTGTGATTCTTAAACTAATACAGAAATTGGGTGAGCTTGAGAATATAGTAGAATCATCTCAAACCTCAGCCACTGCATTTGAATTGGTTGAGGATAATGAAGAAGTTGACAAGCCGGGAGATTTCAAACAAGATGATGATTGTCTAGGAATGAAATTAAAAATGTTGGAAGAAGAGGTTGAGAAGATGAAAGTAATGCAGAATAGATTGCGAAGAACATGTCAGAAAGTGCTCTTTTTGTTTGTCGCTTGTTGTTGTGTTATGGTAATAGCATATAAGCTATTGTTTTTGGGTGATGTATAAGAAGAAAGGTTCAATGAAGTTACCTTAAGCTCTTGATGTAGTGAGATCAATGTTGGAGTAGTGTAACACTGTAAATGTTGTAATCAATTAGGTGCAAAACTCTTTTGTAATGAACTGTGTATTCTTCTTATTATGTTAATGCAATTTGTTGATTTATGTACTTCGTTTGTATTTTATTTATAACTGCATTGACATTATTGCAGTCACAACTGCATAATTGTATGTGTAAAATTAATGCAAAACTGGTTGCACAATTGTTTCAAAAAGAGACAACTAAAATAACAAACTAATGCAGCAGTTACAACTGCATAATTGTTTCAAACATAGATCAAACTAACGCAGTCACAGCTGCAACATAATTATTTCAAAAACAAACATAGATCAAATTAATGCAGTCACAACTGCATAATTGTTCACAAAACAGATAAAATATCAATCTAAAGCAGTGACAACAACATAATTATTTCAAAAACAGCTAAAATATCAAACTAAAGCAGTCTCCATATCAAACATCATATGCATTAGACCTTGTTCTCCTTTTTTTGTTTTCTCTCATCTCTTGAAGACCTTATTGAGTTACAACATCCTTTCCACTCCATTTTAATCCTGATCATGGTTTATGATGCCCAAGATTTCCGGTCACTATTGAAGAGTTCATAGGCATCCAGGCTACATTCACAACATAAACATTGTCTTAGATGATTCATAAGTTACAATTGAAAGGTGTAAATATTTAAGACAACTTACATTGTGGATTTTAAAACCACTCTGTGTATGTAGAATCCTCATTCCGACAATTCTTGGCCTCTTCACTCCTCTAGTAGCACCAGGAATATCTGTAGCAGTAGCAGCTACACCAGTTCCTCTTCTTCTTCCCATTCGAGCTACACTAGTTGCAGTTCCTCTTCCCCTTCCAACAATATCAGTTCCAGTTCCTCTACCCGTTCCAGTAGGACCAAAACCATTGACAGCACCACTAATCCTTGTTTCATTAACAGATCCAGTTGTAGTTCCTCTTCCCCTTCCAGTTCCAGCTAAACCAGTTTCAGTTCCTTCCCCTTCTAGTAGCACTAGCCTATAATATAAGTTAACTAACAAAAATATTAGACTGATAAAGCTGTAAAATAACAACTATATGAATTACTATAAACAATACCTGTTTTGTAGAACCTCTTGGTCGACCTCTTCCTCTCTTTGTGCTTGATTGTGATTCAGTTGATGTTGTAAAAAAGCCAACACTTGACCTAGTTGAACTAGTATTTATTCTTCTCCCATTTCTTCTTCCTCTGCCTGCATTAGCTTGATTATTTAAATGACAACCCCTCTTATTATGACCCTTGTATGAAAGAAACTGCAGGTCATATCAACACCTCTCTTGGACAATTTTTCTGTTTTATTTTCATTCTGCTCCTTTCTCCTACACTTTTTAGGCTTCCCTGGTAGTGTTTTGATAACAGGTGGTAATACAGAAGGGTTGATCGATTGTGGCCACATTTCCATGTTAGTAACTGGTTGAATGTAATGACTATAGACCTCGAGATAAGTCTCCTTGATATACCAATGTGCAACATAGTTAATGGGCTCCAATTTTCTAAAATGAAGTGCAGCTATAACATGACAACAAGGTGAATCCTCTTAGCATCCAAGATCTAAAAGTACATGTTTGTGTGCCTAGATTTACAATAAATGTGTTAGCCCAGCTGTCTTTAACCTCAAAACCATATTCACCATTCCATTCAAGGTTATATTGCATCGACTTTGTTGTGTTCTCTGTTAATACCTTTAAGGCCATTGGAGATATGTCGGTTATCCAAGTATCACTGAACTACCTCAATTGTCCTATTCTTCTAATCACTTTGGCCCTTATTTCTTCAAGCATTGTGATGATAGTTTTGTGTCTTGCCCCCAAAATCAATGAATTAAAGCTTTCAGCCATTTTGTTGTCAAAACTATCACAACATCTAAAAAACTTAAAGTATAATTTAGACCACCTTTCTATATTGTAGTACAATAAGTTATCAATTATTCCAGTACCTAACTTCTCCATATGATTCAAATTTCTTTTCAATTCTTGTTCATATGTAGATTTGGAACATCCCTAAAAACAGTTTCTTCTTTCAATACTTTTTCAATAGATAGACCAGTTGGCTAGAACATGTCTTGCACACATTCTTTGTTCTACATTTGACAGAAGTTCTTGAATAGCTTTATTAAGACCTTTAATAACATTTGGAATATCATGAAACAATAAATGAAAAAGAAAATAGATAAATAAATGGGGAAAAATAAATGAAAAAATAAGAAGGAAAATAAAAATACATTCTGCATATCAGTAATGGTTGTCAATTCTGTCCCAACTGCTAGCTCAAGATCATGTCTTACAATCTTGATAAGCCATTTCCAAGTGAATGTGTTTTCCATCTCAACAACTGCCTATGCTAGTGGTAGCATTTGGTTGTTCCCATCCTTACAAACATCCACAAGTAATTGACCTCTAGAAACACCTTTAAAGAAGCAACCATCAAATCCTATACATCTCCTAACTCCAGCTTTGAATGCTTTCCTTAAAGCATCAAAACATATGTAAAATGATTGAAACATTTTTCTGCCACCTTCAAAAGTTTCTTCACTAAGTCTCACCACACATGTGCTGCCTGGATTAGTCCTAATAGCTCATCTCTATAATCTAAAATTCTTTTAAACTCCTCTACATGATCACCCATAATTTGTTGCAACATAATGTTTCTTGTTTTCCTTGCTACAGTTCTCCCACATACACATTTAACTCTTTCTTCACTAAAATTTGAAACTGAAAAACTCTAATACCAGGCTCAGAAATAATTCTGTCCTTGTACCTTTCTACTAAGTACTTTGAATTCACCAATTTATTTCTGGTTATGCCATTGCATTTATGTACTGAATTGTAATTCTTCACCATAAAATCTCCTGTTCTTGAATCAATACTTTCAAACAACAACCATGGACAACCAGTCGTACACTTTACCCTCACCCTAGTTGCATCATTAACATAATATTTATTTAATTCAACATGTTCTTGAACTGCATATCTAGTAATAGCTTCTCTAAACTGCTAAACACTTTCAAAAGTAAGACCAATCTCCCAAACTATTAACTGACAAGTAGGATCAAATACATTTTTCTTTTTATTTCTTTTTGCTCTTCTTTCTTTTCTTTGTCTTCTTATAGGCATTTCAACCTGATCTGCCTCATTAACATCATCATCAGTATCTATTTCAAAAATAACAGCTTAATCTGAATCAAAGTAGGGCTCATCTCCAGCTATCTTACCCTCTAAAGTAGTTTGTTTCTTGGATAGATATTCATCATATCCCAAATCAACTCACTTTTTTCCTAAATCAACTCTTTCATATCTTCTAGGGCCTTTTTCTTTTATCTTTTTTATTTTAGCGGCCTTTTTTCTTTCCTAAGATTTATAACTTCCTCATGAACATCACTACCATACTCATCTTCTCCTTCATCAGACAAATCTACATTGTCTGAATCATCACTTTCTTCTGTTTAACTTTCCCAATTAGACCCAAGTTTTGGAATATCAGATGCAGTAGCACAAAAGAAGTACCACCCAAGTCTTCTCCAACACTAGTAGAAGCCCTACCCAATTCCTCTCCAGCACTAGTAGAAGTCCTACCCAATTTCTCTCCAGCACTAGTGAAAGTCCTACCAAACACTTCACTCAACTCTTCACCCACAATAGGTTGTGCAGGTTCTTCAAACCTGAAACCTTCACTATCCTGAAAAGTCTGACTAGATTCCTTATTAAAAGTAGCATTAGAGTCCCACCTACCCCATCCACCCCACCCACATCATTTAGATATTCAATTGTTGGTGGGGCTACAACAGCTTCTTCAACTAAATGAATCACATAAAGTTCAACAATATCTCCATTTTTTAATTTAGGTACAATCCCATAATATCCCGATCACATTTAACTTCAACAACATGTTGACATTTAGGTTGTTTAATATAAACAACACTAGCAGCACAGTTATACCCAATTTATTTAACAATATCAACAAATTCGAAGTAGGACAATTTGTCAACATTTATGTCAAAACAATTAGTGACCAAACCTCCTTCATACTTAAAATGAGGTTTTTGTTGAAGTTTTCCACCATGGTGAAACCTTAAAGTAACGTACATATCCATCGTCAAATTGAAAAGATTAAAAAAACTAAGCTTCTCGAAAACCCTAAAATTGGTCAAATGCTACAATCATCTAAAGGAAGATTATAACCTGGTAACTTTGTTCTTCACGCGATCCTTTGCTTCTTTCATGAAAACCTTAAAATCAACAACTCATTCACGCTAATGGAAGAGAAATCTTCATATTCGATCTTCTAGGTTTGAGAGAAGAGAAAGAATGAGAATCGCGAGCTTAGGGTATTTAGGGATATTTGTTTATAAGTGTGTCGGGATGTATTTGGAAACGGATCTTAAAGATTTAGGAATATTTGTTTATAAGTGGGCCGGGTTGTATTTTGGGAACGGGTAAGATACTTTTTAAATCCTTAGGCAACGTGGACCACTAAAAAGGCGCGTGTGTAACAATGCCAGCCTTCAACTGGGCTGGAGCTCGGAAGGTTAAAAATAATTCACATCAAACCATAAACACCCGTGTAGTTTAAGTACTAAAACGAGTTTTCGTGCCAAGTTTAGGGAAGATTTGATGTATTTTCTCTTGATCAAATAATAAAGTGTTCTTACTAAATAGTTAGTTCAAATTTTGAAAATATATTTATGTGTGTTCTCAATGTCCATTACGTTAATAGGTTAACTATTTAAGATATGTTATTTTTTTTAATTATATATATTTTATTTTCTATATATGTTTTTTTTTTAGATTTTCATTTTTAAATTTTAATAAATTGAATTAATTTTCACTTTTTAAGATAGTACTTGTACTAGTAGATTTTTAGTGGTAATTCAAATAAAGAATTATTATTGTAACTGAAGTATTATGTTAAAAATATTATCAATATCAACATTAAAATGTTTGTGATACTTATTTAGAATTGAATTTGTAACAATTATACATATCAAAACAAATAGTTGTGTTTTGTGAGGTGAGCACAAGAGCAACATCTCATAACATGCAATAAAAATACTTGTTAAAATAAATAGTTATTCTTTTTGCTTTTTAGAATATTGCATTCAACTTCATATAAATTTAATGTTATGGTTGATATTTGCTTTGAAAATATAGTATTTGCTTAAAATTTAAATGTGGTTGAACATTAATGTTTGTCCATACTTGTATATAAATTTGAGATTTTTGTTAACATTTTCTTTGTCATCATCACGTAAATGTGATATTTATCTAAATGTGATTGGTTGAACACTAATTATTTTTTATACCTATATATAAATTTAGCATTCTCATTGACATTTGCTCTATCATCATCTCGTAAATATGATATTTGTCTAAAAGTGATCGAACACTGATGTTTGTTTATATATGTATATAAATTTAACGTTTTCGTTAACATTTGCTCTGTCGTCATGTCAAAAATATGATATTTGTCTAAATGTCGTTGAACATTGATGTTTGTCTATATTTTCATATAAACTAATTGTTCTTGTGGGTATTTGTTATGTCGGCACCTCAAAGATATAACATTTGTCTAAATGTTATTGAATATTGGTGTTTGTCTGCACTTCTCGTTGACATTCGCTCTATCATCATCTCGAAAATATGATATTTGTCTAAATAAGATTGAATATTGATGTTTGTTTATACCTGCATACAAATTTAACATGCTCATTGACATTTGCTTTGTCATGATCTCGAAAATATAATATTTATCTAAATATAATAGAATATTGATGTTTGTCTACACTATCATATAAACTAATTGTTCTTGTCGATATTTGCTCTGTCGTCACTTCAAAGATATGAAAATTATTTAAAGTGATTGATGGTGTTTGTCTACACCTCTCTTTGACATCCGCTCTGACATCATCTCAAAATATGATTGAACATTGATATTTGTCTACACTTTCATATAAACTCTGTATTTTTGTCGATATCTGCTTTGTCGTCACTTCAAGGATATGACATTTGTTGAAATGTGAATATTGGTGTTTGTCTATACCTGCATATATAAATTCAAATCTTAGTTCTTCAAACCTAAAAGTTGAATCTTTGAAGAAATAGTTGTTCTTCAAAGGTAAGATTCAAACTTATTCTTCTTCATCTATTATTTTGAAAAGATAAAAAAAAATAGGCTTGACGAAAACCCTAAACTCAATCAAATGCTACAACCATCCAAATGAAGATTACTAACCGGATAACTTTGTTTTCGCCGAGAAACACCACAAATTCGAAAAGAAAATCCTTCAGAGAATGAGAATAGGGATTTGAGATTTAAGGATATTTGTTTAGAATCGGGTCGGGTTCTTTTTAAGAATGGGTAGGTTATATAAAATGAGTAAGATACTTATTAAACACTTAGCGATGTGGAAGAATGAAAACGTGCGTACACAACAATGCCCAACATTCAACTTGGTTGGTGTTCGGGGGTATTTAAACATCCGTATAGTTTAAGTACTAAAGTATCTCTATTTTATAGAGTTTAACGACTAAAGTAAGTTCTCGTGCCAAGTTCGAGAGCAGGGCCGACTCAACAACATTGATGGCCTAAAGCGAAACTTAAGAGAGGGGCCGTAATATTTTATTTTTTTCATCATATATACTTTTATTTTAGATATACTTTTCTAGCTATTTTAGATGCAAAGTCATTAACAATCTTTTTAATAATCCTTTATTCAAATGATAATAATGCTAATTACTTCAATCTCTCTTGAGACATTGTTGATCTTAAAGAAGATTAAATCAATTTTAATTTCGAAAAAAAAATCGGCTGAGGCAACAGTTACAAGAATTGTTAACATTATCCTATAAGCAAAATGTGTATTTGGGAAAGATAGTTTTTTATGGGATAATGCCCAAGTACCCCCTCAACCTATGCCCGAAATCTCAGAGATACACTTATACTATACTAAGGTCCTATTACCCCCAGAACTTATTTTATTAATAATTTTTTACCCCTTTTTAGCTTACGTGGCACTATCTTGTGGGCCCAATGATTGTTGACTTTTTTTTCCGAACTAGTGCCACGTAGGCTAAAAAGGGGTAAAAATTACATATAAAATAAGTTCAGGGGGGTAATAGGACCTTAGTATAGTATAAGTGTGTCTCTAGGATTTCGGGTATAGGTTGAGGGGGTACTTGAGTATTTTCCCTTTTTTTATTTAATTGAGTATTTTCATTAGATCATTATCTTCTACTTTTATTATTTCTCTTAACAATTTTAATTCAAAAAACACATCTAAACCATCAATATTAGAATAACTATTATGGGTTAAAAGAAAGTTCAAGGTTAAGGCAATATTGTTTTAAAATTTTCATCATCTAGTAATCTCCATATTTTAACACTAAATAAGAAATCGAAAAATATTCTTATATGTTTCAATTGGTTCAAATCTATTTTGAAGTGAAAAAAAATACTTTGATCTACTCAACATATATTAAGTAATCAACTCTAATGATTTTTCCGGGGATTTAGTGATTTTCTTATCCATATTTTCATCAAATTGTTTCTTACAAAAAATCAGGTTTATATTCATCACATATGCATTTTTCTTAGTAGAAATCATAGTACAAATATTTTGTTGTTTTTTTCATAAAAAAAAAATAACATATATAAATAAAAGAAAAATTTAAATGAAACCTCCAAAAAATATGGGGCTCAAGCAATGACTTTAATGACCTAGAGATTAAGATGACCTTATTTGGGAGGGGGGTAATGAGTTTTCTACTTTTCTCTAATTTATTATGTAATAATCATTACTATTTCGTTAGGAATGATATATGATACTTGTTAAGTATGTATTGATGTATTCGTGCCATACTTTTGTATACTTTATATACATGTACGGATATTCTCTTTTATATCATTTTATTTGTAATTTTCTATTTCAAACATTATATTTACTCAAATATAGTTATAGTTTCAATTTTAGTTGATCATGACCAACATCACAAACCCTTGGGGGCACAACAATGATTTGGCTTCCACTATATATCATATTTTTTGTTATCATTTATTGTAATTATATCATTTTATCTTAAAAGTTTTAAATGGTTATTATATCATAAATATGTTTATCAAACCTCTTAATTTGTCCGATTAAGGATGATTGGGTACCATCACCATTTTGTGATAACATACAACTTTAAAATGTAAATATATCACCATTTAGGTCTATAATTGTTTCCATATATACCTAAAGAGATTTGAAATCTATTTTTTTAAAATTAATTATCCAATGATGTGAATTGTGATAGAATAAATAAGTTTTGTCGGTTTATCTTCTCAAGCTCAATCCCTATGAACGGTAAATTATAGTAAAATTTATTTTTTTTCTTTAATAAATTTCATAGGAGATAAATCTAGATAGTCAAATCAGCATGTACTAAATATTTAATGATTAAATTATTTTTTAAAGAAAAGATTACTTTGAATTCTTCAATTCTATATTCCCCGTTTTACATTACTTGAGTCATATTTATTTGACACACTCTTTAATTTATTTTTTAATTAAAAATGTATTTTATTAAATCAACGTTATTAATTATATTTTGATCTTTATATAGTTATTTAATAAATAAAATTCTTAGTAGTATTAAATTGAATAAAAAATTTTTTTTTTTATATACTAGCCCATTAAAATAAAAAGGAAAAAAGATACAATAAATAGATAAAAGATTAAATGATTGTGTTTGAAGGGGGTTGGAGTAGCAAAAACAATTTCTCAGCCAACCAAGATGGGTTGTGATACAGAATGATGAGACTGATTCATCATTAATTATAGGTCCATAATTTTTGAACTAATAGAGAATTATGTTTTGAACCCCAATTTTTGAATGGAGTCTATAATGTAAAATTTAAATTTAATTAAAATTTTAATATAAATTTTAAATATCCGACGAAAAATAAAATAAAATATTACCTTGATGACAAGTAATAAGAACCACAACTTTTAACATGGGGGTGGGGGGTTAAATTAACTTTATTTGTCAAGTCTAGTCTTTATCTTCCCCTTATATTTTGTGGGTCTCTTTTATAGCAAATGGACAAAACAATTCTCACTATTCACATCAGCTTCACAGGGAAATGTTCCCTCTACCCCCCACCAAACATTTTCTTTTCGCTCAATTATTTTTTCTATCTATTTTAGTTATCGTATTTATTAAAAATAATTATTTTAAAAAAATTTATTCTTAATAGTAGCTTTACTTGTAACAAATGATAAATGTGTTGTGATTAGATTAGCGTATTGAAATATTTTTTTATATTATATAGTTTAATTGAGTATGAAATTTAAAAAAATTAAAATATATAGAGTGTGATTAGATTGACGTATTGAAAACTTTTATATTATATAGTCTAATTGAATATGAAATTTTTAAAAATATAAAAAATGATAAATGAGAGTGTGATTAGATTGGCATATTGAAATATTTTTTTATATTATATAGTTCATTTGAATATGAACTTTAAAAAATATAAAAAGAGTGTAGAGTGTTTTAAAGCTTAAAATAGAAGAGTATACATTTGTGAGATTTTTATTAAACATAAATAAAATATTGATAACGTTTTTAAATATTTGTTAAATAAAAAAAAATATGTCACTAAAAAGGAAATTGTATTCTAGAAATTGAGATTAAAAAAAGTATAATATTATCTAATTGATTGTTTATTTTTAATTTTTAATCTTACTTAATAAATGATGAGATAGATTAATACGATATGAAACAATATATATTAAATTGAGATCAAAGAAAAAATGAATATAGTCAACTTATTTACTTTAGTTAATTAAATCTGTTTTTTTTAGTTAATACATTCTGTAAATAAAAATATGACATGATGTAACTATTTATTATTATTTATCTTAATAATAGATGATATGATATAACATAATATATATTATTTACGAGTGAATAGTTTTGATTGATGAAACACATGAAA